CCGACCCAGACGCACCGAACGAGAGACGCGAAGGAGAGCGGAAGAGAATCCCAAACGGTCGATTCGTCGATCCTACCCGAGCTGACTCAAGACACCGACCCCCCACTCCTGCGCTCCGCGCCCTCCCTAGCTCCTTCCCCCCCTTCCTTTTCTACCTTTTTCCCGCTGCCCGCTGCCTCTCTCCTCCTCTCTCCTCCCCCTGCTCCCCCCCACCTCCCTCTGTACGCGCTAGAAGAGAGAGGAAGATGAGTGGCGGACGTTAGCCCCCCCCCCCCCCCCCCTGCTTCCTATTTCCCTGAATGCCCGCACTTTCAGAGCCAGTTTTATCACAGAGAAAACCATCAGCCTCTGGAGTCTGATTTACAACAATTGTTCTGTTCAAATGAGTTCAAGTTTGTAGCCCAGTGGTTCTCAGCCTGTGGGTCCCCAGATGTTTTGGCCTGCAACTCCCAGAAATCGTAGCAGCTGGTAAACTGGCTGGGATTTCTGGGAGTTGAAGTCCAAAACACCTGGAGGAAGGGCCCAAGTTTGCCCATGCCTGCAGTAGACTCTCAGTTAATCAGCATCCATGGGGATTGGTAGATGCTGGATAAATGTAATTTGTGGTTGCTTGAGAATTACTATACAAAATAGGCCTAATAATATATTCTATACCATACCACAAATTCTATATTGACTTGATATTAATATTGAAATAAAATACTTAAAAGCAAATGAAAACAAACATAGCAATGCAGCACAGTTTTGTTGTATTATTACACAAATTGATTTTACTATATCACAAAATTGATTTTATTTTAACTTCTATTTATTCCATTATTTTTCTGGTTGCTTGTGTTCTGGTCAACTAAGAGTTGTAAGCTTTGGAAAAAATGCAGTTCTTAGACATCATGAAATACCCAAGGAATCATAATGTTCTAGTGTTCCTTTTTACAGCTATGTTAATCTGTGTCTGTGCTGCTCCTGAGTTTCTCAAATGCTCCCTCTTAGGTTGCAAGTGTATCCACTCCATTCTAGTATCACCTTGGAAGAACAGACTAATGTGTTTCTGGCTCCAGTTCCTGGATACCGAAAAGTGAGTTTTTAATCCTTGTGTGAGCACCGTGAATCCTAATTTTTTGGGGGTGCAGGTGAAGGAAAGCAGTGTATGTTGCTGACTATCATTAACTGGAGGGAAGACGAAAGGAATTAGGTCACTGAAAGTAACATGAATTGGAAACAAAGGGAGGACAGAACTGAATTACCTCCTTTTCCTACCCTTCTAGACTGAATTACCTCCTTTTCCCACCAAATTGAAAACACAAATCATTTTCACATTATAAAAGATAACTCTATCTACATGTTTACAAGCTGATTTTATTATATTGTGATGTTTATCATCATTTTGGTGTAGGTAAGAAGAAGGGGCTGCGGTGGAACAATGGGTTTAACCGCTGAGCTGTGGAACTTGCTGACTGAAAGGTCGACGGTTCAAATCCATGGAGCAGTGTGAGCTCCCACTGTTAGGCCCAGCTTCTGGCAACCTAGCAGTTCAAAAACATGCACATATGAGTAGATCAATAGGTACCGCTCCAGTGGGAAGGTAACAGAGCTCCATGCAGTATGCTGGCTACATGACGAGAGGTGTCTATGGACAACGCCAGCTCTTGGCTTAGAAATGGAGATGAGCACCAACCCCCCCCCCCCAGAGTTGGACTCAACTATACTTAATGTCAAGGGGAAACCTTTATTTTTACCTAAGAGTAGATAGCCCCAAAAAGTAATATTTAAATAGCTATATAAACAAATACACCTTCAGCTGCTTTTGTTTTCACAAGTCCTTTAAAAATAGTTCTATGTGTTGGTCTACTCCTCCATTGCTTCCTATTCCTTTACTCCTTTTTAAATTGTTTTTGTAGATTCTCCTCTCTACAAACATAGCAGAGAGCTCTGTAACTGTTCCAGATGTCAAATACGGTGAGTATGTTTGGATGTATAATGATTATAATGAGGAAAACGGATATATACGTATGTTTTGATTTTACCGTTTTGGATGTAGTGGTATTGAAGATTCTTTGTTCTTCTTTGCTTGGGAGTTACATTTAAAAGTCAGATTCCCAAATTCCTGTTTCAGAACAGAAGCCAGAAATGCCACAGGGAGAAATCCCACTCCAACCCCATCTCTCCCTGAAATGCACTTTTAAAACTAGTACAGAGAGTACTCGATGCCAAAAACCAAATTTTGCCCCAAGGAAATTTATATTTTGTGCAGAGCGGAAGTGGAGGAGAGAAATTTAGTGGTGGCTTTTGGCAGAAACCATTCAGATTAAATTAGGTACAGTGTTTTAATTTGCTGTGATTCATTCAATTTGCATAAAATCACATGCAATACTTGTGGTTCTCATTTGGCAAACTCCAAAGAAGTAAAGAAGCAGGGACAGAGAAGGATGAAGGTTAGGATGTAAAAACAGAGGAAGCAACATCCCTCTTGCCTTCAGTCGACATCTACACTGTCGAATTGATACAGTTTGAGCCCACTTTATTGCCAGGTGTTAGAATCATAGAATCATAGAGTTGGAAGAGACCTTATGGGCCATCCAGTCCAACCCCTTGCCAAGAAGCAGGAATATTGCATTCAAAGCGCCCCTGACAGATGGCCATCCAGCCTGGCATTGTTGCCAAGTCATTGCATTAAGATTTCGACTGGACCTCATACCTGGGTCCCTTCCACACAGTTGAATAAAATCCCACATTACCTGTTTTGAACTGGAATATATGGCAGTGTGAACTCAGATAACTCAGTTCAAAGTAGATATTGTTGGATTCTCTCTCCTGTCCTTTAGAAGGATGGTAAAAACTTGGCTATGGGACCAAGCTTTCGGGACAAGGCAATACAGCGGCAATAGGAAAGATGACCAGGCCAATTAGTCTTGACGCGGATGACTAGGACGTTTTTAAATGGTGTATTTTAATATTTTGATAAATGTGTTTTTGTATTTATGTATGTGTATGTGAATTTGTGTCCTGGCATTGAATGTTTGCCGTGTATATGCTGTGCTCTACCCTGAGTCCCCTTCGGGGTGAGAAGGGCGGAATATAAATGTTTTAAATAAATAATAAATAAATAGCATTTTGTCAATGTAGGATCATTAGTTGTCTTCGCTTGAGATGAAATTTTAGTCCTGACATGACAAATGTACACTGGAAAAGCACCGTGGAAGCTTTTCAGAGCTACTGTGCCTTTTGAATGAAAAGTTTCCTTCTTACGGCTTTTCCTTTGTTATTGCTTTACAACATTACTAAGGATATTTATTTCACTTCTATGTACACTTGGGTTACTAGTTTCCTTTCATTTATATCACTGTTAGCTTTTATATACTGGGATTTAAAAAACAAACAGACCTTTGAATTCTTACTTAATTCAGAGGAACATTTCTGATTCTGTCTTATTGAAAGCTTTAATAGCTGGAATCACTGGGTTGTTGTGTGTTTTCCGGGCTGTCTGTCCATGTTCCAGAAGCATTCTTGCCTGACGTTTCACCTGCATCTATGGCAGGCATGCTCAGAGGTTGTGAGGCCCTCACAACCTCTGAGGATGCCTGCCATAGATGCAGGTGAAATGTTAATTTTTAAAATCACACTTAAAATGTTGATGGCAAAGAAGAAAAGCATGCCTTAAGCCAGTGGTTCCCACAGGGACCACTTTGGCCATGGACCACTCTCCAACATTAGTCCCAAAAGGGTTACAAATCGGTTTTTGGTCAACTTCAGATTTTGTCTGGTTATTTGGGGTGCTTATACAGAAAATTGCATTGAATAGACCACATCAGCTCTAGTTTCTGATATGGAACATACTTTAGATTTGTTTTGGTTATTTGGGGTGCTGATTCGGAAAATTGTATTGGATAGACCACAGCAGCTCTAGTTTCTGATATAGAACATATCCCATCCAGTGGTCGCCATCTACTCGCCCACAGAAAACCATATTAAATAAGCCTTGGCACTATAAGAGGGTTTCGTGAGACCAGTTGCTCTCGTTGTAACAGTGCAGTAACGGTGAGGCCGTGGACCATATTTTAGCCATTGTGGACCACTACAGACCACAGGTTGGGACCCACTGCCTTAAGCAGAATGGGGTTATTTTTGCCCCTCGCAGTCGGGTACCATAAGGGGATGGGATGGCCTGTACTTTGGCAGTGACTTTTTTTTGTTATTGGTGGCCATCTTTTTTTTTTTACACTTAAAAGGCAATTTGTTCCAATAGTGCAAGAATTGTTGAGCTTTTATTTTGGTTTCTAAAGCCACCTTTTCTACTATTTATTTATTGTATTGTCGAAGGCTTTCATGGCCAGAATCACTGGGTTGTTGTAGGTTTTTTCGGGCTATATGGCCATGTTCTAGAGGCATTCTCTCCTGATGTTTCGCCTGCATCTATGGCAAGCATCCTCAAAGCTAATTGATTTTATTTATCGTATCAGGAGTGAACAAAAACAGTTGTATTGCATTAAAAACAAACAAACAAAACACAAAGTTTGCAGGCTTGATATTCTATTAAATGCCCTTTGACCAGTAGCTGGCCACTTGGAGTGCTTCCGGTGTTGCTGCAAGAAGGTCCTCCATTGTGCATGTAGCAGGACTCAGATTGCATTGCAGCAGGTGGTCAGTGGTTTGCTCTTCTCCACACTCGCATGTCGTGGATTCCACTTTGTAGCCCCATTTCTTGAGGTTGGCTCTGCATCTCGTGGTGCCAAAGCGCAGTCTGTTCAGCGCCTTCCAAGTCGCCCAGTTTTCTGTGTGCCCAGGGGGGAGTCTCTCATTTGGTATCAGCCATTGATTGAGGTTCTGGGTTTGAGCCTGCCACTTTTGGACTCTTGCTTGCTGAGGTGTTCCAGCGAGTGTCTCTGTAGATCTTAGAAAACTATTTCTTGATTTAAGTTGTTGACGTGCTGGCTGATACCCAAACAGGGGATGAGCTGGAGATGTCTCTGCCTTGGTCCTTTCACTATTGGCTGCTACTTCCCGGCGGATGTCAGGTGGTGCAATACCGGCTAAGCAGTGTAATTTCTCCAGTGGTGTAGGGTGCAGACACCCCTTCTAGACACCTCTTCTAGTTAATGGCCATAAGCCACTGTAATAATGATGAAGAGGAAATGTGGCTTGAACTTTGAAGTGTGAACATCGGGGGCAGGACACATCCAAACAATTATGCAAAGTGACACAAAAACGAGAGATGGAAGACCTTTAGGTTGGTGCTGGCAGCCACTGTGCAGCGGGAGCGCCGTGTCTCTGCCAGAAGAAAAGGAAGCCTGTTTTTGCATCTCATCTCCGGCGCTTCCTTGGTTCTGCCGCTTGCTGGTTCAGTGTATTGGTTTGACCTTTGCGCTGACAGTGGCCTGGGGCTATAATTCACAATGTTCTCATGACCTCTGGTAGTAGCAGCCATGAGATAAGAAGAGAGACGCTTGTGTCATTCGCAGTTGCTTGAGCAGAACCGAGGCGGGCTTTTCACTTAAGTCAGAAATATCTCCTTACGCAAAAGCTTCTCCTTATGCTCCAGCCGGTCTTTTAAAAACCTGACATTGAGTTTAGTGCAGGCATGAGCAAACTTTGGCCCTTCAGGTGTTTTGGACTTAAACTCCCACAATTCCTAACAGCCGGTTACAGCGGATACAGATATTTAATTGTATTATATGTTTTCATCCATTTCCCGTAGGGTAGCTGTGTCCATTTTTGTAGTAATAATAGCGAAAAGATTTGTGGCATCTCAAAGAGATCTCCACTCCTTTATTTGTATCCCCTCTTTTCTCCCAGTTTATCACTCAACTAGGCTTTTAAAAATAGTTATACATTTCTGAAATACAAAAGTTAAAAAGAGATTTAAATGCTACTTGTTTAGCACCCTTTGTCTGGAAATCCAAAAAGCTTCAAAACCCATATTTGTCCACGTGGATGGCTGAGATAATGACCCCTTTACTTTCTGATTGTTCATTGTACACAAATCTTGTTTCATGCAAAATTTGATTAAAACATTGTGCATTGTCCCTTGGGAGATGGTAGCGGGGTATAAATAAAGTTTTTATTATTATTATTATTATTATTATTATTATTATTATTCAGATTACGTCTATAAGGTTATATGAAACAGAAATGGATTTTGAGTTTAGACTTGAGTTTCATCTCCAAGATACCTCATTATATATATATGGAAGACTTCAAAAATCTTTTTAAAATGGAGTATTTTGGGTAACCAATACTCAGCGTGTCACAACGCCCACAACAAAAACAACAAATAGAAAATCCGGCACATTGTTTAGGAAGGATGGGTTAGGTCCAATCAATCTTCAAATGGGCAGCCCTGGGGATAACGTGATTATAATAAGTGTTTTAAGTTTTGATATGTTTTTAATGGATGTTTTAATATATATATGTTTACTTTATTATGTATGTATGTTTACATGGCATCAAATTGTTGCCTATATATGTAAACCCCAAGGCCCCCAGGGGTGTAATGGGTTAAACCCTTGTAACGGCATGACTGCTGACTTGAAGATTGGGTTGCTGACCTGAAGGTTGCCGGTTCGAATCCGGGGAGAGCGCAATCAGCTCCATCTGTCAGCTCCAGCTCCCCATGTGGGGATATGAGAGAAGCCTCCCACAAGGATGGTAAAATATCAAAACATCCAGGTGTCCCCTGGGGCAATGTCCTTGCAGATGGCCAATTCTCTCACACCAGAAGCGACTTGCAGTTTCACAAGTTGCTCCTGACACCAAAATAGTAGTAGTAGTAGTAGTAGTAGTAGTAATAAATAAATAAATAAATAAATAAATAAATAAACCACCTTGAGTCCCCTGTAGGGTTAAGAAAGGCAGGGTATAAATAGGCTAAATAAATAAATAAATAAATAACCCATATTTTTTTTGGGATTGTGTCACAGCTGGCTGAGTGTCAGCTGCATTAAGATCACTCTGATCAAAAGGTCATGAGTTCAAAACCAGCCCGGGTTGGAGTCAGTGTCCGACCAATTGTGTAGCTTGTTGTCGACCTTTGCAACCTGAAAGACGGTTGCATCTGTCAAGTAGGAAAATTAGGTACCACCTATGTGTTGGGAGGCTAATTTAACTAATTTATGAGGCCATAAAAAGACTCCAGCATAAAGCACTCCAGCAAAGCATGCGGGGAATGCGGAAGTACTTCATCAGTGTCGCAGATGGACGATGAAAGCGACAGCTCCCCTGGTGGCCAGAAAAGTTAAATAGCCTCTGTGTATGTCTATATACGTTGTATGTCTAATTGGCATTGAATGTTTGCCATATATGTGTACATTGTAATCTGCCCTGAGTCCCCTGCAGGGTGAGAAGGGCGGAATATAAATGCTGTAAACAAACAAACAAATACATAAATATATTTTCTGTCTTTTCTTTAACCTAAGAATAGAAAGAATTTTCAAATATTTTAAAATATTGATATACTGTTTGAAAAAAAAACATGTGTAGTATTCAGAAACTCTCATGGGAAGGATC